TAAATCGACCCATGATCTTGTGCAATCTTTCATCTGTTGTCTGAGATGGATAACTGTCTCAAAGCAAACAAATATTAAACTTCAGTAGTCACGTTTTCTTACTGGAACTCCAGAAAACCCGTCTTGAAGCTAGTCACTATTCAGCACATGATTAGTACTAGTATGGGGATTTGTAGAGATTGTGGTATTTATACAGTTGGATTCATCAGTCAATTTTCGCTTCAGTTTATTTCTTAAGTATCATACAAATATCATATCAACTTCAAATAATACTAGAATATTCAGTTACTTCAATAACTAAACTCTTATATTTACACATAAAACTAATGATCTATCGATACAGCTTACATAGAGTATGTTTTCTATTAAACACTAGTGAGATGGTGGAGATGATTTGTAGCTCAGGTGGATGATTTTGATAAAGCTTTGTTCTCTGAGATGAATCGTTTGGTTGTGGAGCTTTCATCGTTCTTCTGAACGACATCATCAGCATAAAATTCAAGTTTAGATGATTACAATGTAATAGCTAAACATACTGATACAATCTAGGTAATAATTGATAATAAGAATGTGTAAACAATCATTTGAAAGCACTTTCTATTATATATTGCCATTAGAAAAGGGGAATAATAAAGAAGCGTCCGCGCGCGACCCCGATGGGTCGGCCTTAGGTTCGAGTCCAGCGGGCGGGATCGCGGATGCGCACTGATGTGGAGTCCCATACTAGGATGGAACAGCCGATCATTGCTTCCAGGTTTTCCATGGTAATCTAGCTTTAATTGATTCATGAACTCAACTAGAAAAAATTAGATTGTATCTGGAAATAATTCCAAATCAACATGGATAATGGTACAAATGTGAGTCAGCCCAAGTTGTCATAAAATTAACAAGATGAATAGCGAGTGAGTCATAATAATATAAATATTAATAGATGTGTGTTGTGTTCGGTCGTCGCTGATTGCTGTGCCGGAAAAACGCTGATCACTTATAATCGGAACGAGGGACCTCGGCAATTCCCACGATGTGAAAGTAAGAACACAAAGACTGATATAAGTGATGATTTATTAACCCCAAAACACTCTGACGACGACGAATCATAATAGTCTAAAATACACTCATTTACACATTGATTGTACACCCATTTTGATTAATAATTAGAATTAAATCACATACTCAGTTATAACAAATCGCAGACTGTGAGCATAGTTCATGTCAAGTGAATACAAGAATATCTCGTATATTATGATAAAGAGTAAAATATCATACGAGAAAAGAAAACAACTACTACATTGAGTAATCATTACATTGAATTAGTAGGGAAGTAATGTTGAACAAAACTCATAATGAGTAAATCAATCGAAAATTGACTTTTCTTTCCATCATATCAATGTGAGAATGATTAACCAACGGGGAATACAGTTCACGAAGGAATAGATGAAAACTACAAAATAATAATAGAAGAAGATACATAGTTGATAAGTCTGTATCAGTGATACCGATTCTTAGACATGCAAACCAACATCTCATTGTAGTTCGATAATAATATATAAACGATGCTTCGAAAACATTCATGATCATATATATTTAGGTTAAGTATGTATTATGTAATAATGTGTGTTTCGTATCACTCTGTCCTACTTTCGAACTCTTTAGTTGTGCAATAACGAATGTAGAACATTCAATCAATAAAAAGCCTGGCGGTTAAATGATCAAACTTCCAGTAATTTCTGATATGCGGTAGATGATCTAAGCCATTAATCTAACTAAATGTCATCATCATATTCTACATTTCTTTCCAGTACTTTGGAAAACTCACACTAAACTAGACACCGGATAACTTTGTGGGGCCCTTTATTTTGTCGTCATTTAGATCGAACGATGTTGTCGAAAGGGCTCTCCACTTTAGTAGCCCGGGTTCTGATCCCAAGGTGATTGTAATGATGATTGTTGTTGAAATATATATATATCGCATATCCTTGTATATAATCATCGACTTCAATCGCGTGAGTCAATAACGGATTTAGATAAGTCAAATAACGAGAATGGACTTTTGAAAACATATTTTTTATATAGAGCAAATGGAACAGAACAAAGCAAAACGACGCGCAGTGGAGATGGCGGGTAAGTCAACTTCCACTTAACCAAGCGTTAATCAATATTTATAGTTACACAAAAAAAGTAAGTTACAGATACGTGATGAGTAATGGATAAGAAATGTACACACACCTACACGCTCATATAAAAACAGTCAAGAGTGATAAGCGAATCAATAACAGTCAGAATGTGACTCGAGTAGGATGAATAGAATGGGCTGTCCGAATGCTAGAATAAGGTATATGGGCTTGACATAATAACCGACACTATTTCTTTTGGCTGCTCTTTTAAAATGAGGTCAATCAGAGGGGAAATTTTAAATTATTGGATTTCATATCGTTTGTTTAGCGATGAATTGATTTCTGGGAAACCTGTATGTTTAGCTATATATTTTTAAGATGAAATGGCTTCGTAAGGTCTTCTGGTTAGGGTTATAAATTATCTATCAAACTTTGATCAAATACTAACTAGAAATGAATGTCTGTATGGTATGTGATATATCTAGAGATTAGATTCTTGATATGCCGCGGACTACTTGAACACTCGAACACTAGAACCCTCCCAATTCGCAAATGAGAAGACAGAAGACGAGTGAGAAGAGACATTATTCCAAACAGTGTCAATTATGGTACAAAACTGTCAGGTATTTATAGTATTTAGTAACAGCGAGATCATCATTTTGATCATCCAATCTTCATATAGTGGTTTTTAGCATTTGTCTAATAGGGAAGCTACACGTCGGGATTCCAGGATGTTCTTCTAAAAGATGATTCGATGAAATGTCTTCGGCTCTTTCTGAGCTTCTTAGAGCTACCTCGAGTTCACTGGTGGGCCGTCCTCACAGTATGGTTTGCAAAACTGCAGAAAAACATGATTTTTCTGTTACTAGAATCTGGAATAGCGAATGCTGTTTAGAAAAGGCAAAGTATATTAATTATTGTGATAATGTAAAGTGAGAGCTTGTTTTCATCGAGCTTATTTGAAAACAATGTTTTAATGTATCTTACACTTGTTGGGAGAACATGTTGACGAAGACACTCATGGAGAAAATAGTTTTTCTCGAGTGGAAGCCTACCTTTTGGCGAAAGTCTCCCATTTTCGAACAACGAGCAGCGTACTACGCTCATATGATTTTGAGATGGTGAAGATTTGTAGCTCAGGTGAATGATTTTGGTGGAGTTTTGTTCTCTAAGCTGGATGGTTTAGGCGTGGAGCCTTCATCGTTCTTCTGAACGACTTCATCAGCACAAAATTCAGGTAGAAGTGAAGTGTTCGAAGTTTGTGCTGATGATGTCATTCAGAAGAACGATGAAAGCTCCACGACCAAAACCATCCAGCTCAGAGAACGAAATTCCATCAAAAACAATATTTTAATTCATTTAGTGTTGTAAGAGCAACATATTTGGATTTTTTAACCCTAGAGAGTAGACAACATATTGAACGTATTTGATAATCATTGGTTTGTATAGTCTGTTTGATAACTACTATTGTACTTGGTGTAAACTATTTACGCAGGTTTATAGAGAATGACATTCGATGATAAGTCTCTACAGAAATCGACGCAACCTGAAGACGTACTAGAACTAAGAGTCATTGAATTTATGTTACAAGATAGTTTTGAACTCCTTAAATATGCACACTCAGGAATTTATTCAGCATCAAGCGTTGAAGAAGAAAACAATCTTGCAAACACTAAATTTTTAAAAAAAAATTTAAAATCAGTGATGCATTTGACACATTTAGTATGTAGCTAACAGTGGATTCCAGGATGCCCATTTTACCCATCCAGGATTCATCAACTGGAACCAAGTGTTAGTGTTCACATTGAGAATTGAACCTATTACCTTCGGAATTAAATTCTCAACGCGTTAACCGCTGAGCTACTGAATTCACACAGTCATTCACCTATTCAAAGGGTCTGAAAATGTTAGTAATCGTTTTCAATTTCCTGTGCTCAACATTTGAAGGGAAAGGCACTAGGTCCGAGTTTCAATGTAAACAACACAGATTCTGGCATATACAACTGACGAATCACGTACCGAATATACTAAAACGTATACCATAATGCTAAATAAAAATAAGTCGTTTAAGATGAGCACATATCAATAGAGAATTATTTATTTTACTTAAACACATAAACATTGGCACAAGAAGGCACCAAACAGATATGTGCCACATAAATCATTCGGTTTGCATGAGGGCTCGGATACTGCCTTGGTGCCCAAACCGAAGCAGGTGGTCTTCTTAGGGGGCCACACCCGGAGCCTTCGACCTAAAGATCTGATCCACAAGGCAGTCGAGCAACGTCAGGAGATGCGGTAACATGGTAAGCGGTGACCAACAACAGGTTCATACGCTATTTGTTCCTTCAGGATACTGGAGCCCATGTGCACCATTGGTTTGGAATCAGGGTTTCCCAACTCCCACAGGTAGACTCTCTGTATCCACCAACCCAGTTAGAGCGCCGGCCATTCATTTTTCATCCTCTCAAGTTTGTAAACAACACTCGTGATGCAGGAAGGCAGCGAGTAGGACTTCCCCAACAGTGACTGTATGCATGTGGCCAAATGAGAGCATTTTGAGAGGGCGGGCCCTCTCCACTCTCGGTCGTACCAGGGCATTTGGGGGCTAATCAATTGCAATCATGAAATTCGACAAAGGGAAATTATAAACGATTATCAATAAAATGTAAATGTTTAAAAATGATCAATCTTTCGATCATTTGTCAAATCTCAAAGGAATTTAGTATATACTGATAAAGGGTTTAATCATTTTATAAACTACATATAATTTCACTTAATATACGGAGGACCTATGACGACTAATAGTAGTATCTAACTAAATAGGATCAGTTGTTTGTCTGTTGTTGTTTTTTTTTTTGAAAGAATAAATGAAATTCATTTTTTAGAAACGCAATTTTATTTTAATATTCAAATTAATCCAATTAACTAATTATTTAAAGTATGAGAGTTTAAAAATATGTATATTGAGTATGAAAGCCACTTAGTAATAATAATAAACTTAATACTTATTTTACAAAATGATTTAAGCTACTTATAAGTAGTGTAAAGTAAAAACAAACAAATATGTGGGAATGTTACATAACAGCATGAACAGATGGTTATTATTACACAAAATGTTCACTGAAAATAGTTCAACGGTAATGAACTCAGATCGTGAAGAGTTTTGTTTTAAAAATCTATAAAGAATTAGGGTAGGGGGATATGTTGATAAAAACTACTTCCTATAAAATAATTATACTTTAAGTGTTTGTCAATCAACTCTTATCAATTTCATTAGTGTATTCATTGTTTTACCTTGAGGTCCAAGACCACCATGTAACCAAGCTGTACCATCATTACTACATACTGCAGAGACTGCATATGCTCTTGGTTCATCTATTGTACCAATTCTAAAAGGATAAGGATATAAATAGTGGTTTTGCATTAGTGAAAGTATATCAAAAACGAATTATAGGTAGCGATGATGATATTTGTAAATACGATAGATGGAACATTGAATTTATTTTTCAGACTAGAAATATTGAGTCACAATTTGTCAAATTGAGTTGACAAGTTTACTTTCTTCGATCAGCTTCTTTTCTATTACCATCTATCTGTGTTAACGCGGATGTATGAAATATTATTTATCCAACAGCTATTCTTGTATTTGACTTGTTGCCTTTTTTCGTTATACATTAACGCAAATTAAGTCGATGAATATGTACGAGGTTAAGGTCGTGTGTGACCGACCTCAAGCAGTTGTCTCTTGGGCACTGTGGTTACGCTCTCAAGTCACTAAGACCACCCTCTAACCCAATTTCGTTTTCAGGTACCTCCAGAAGAACCCTTCCATGGTATGGGTAACCGGGAAGTGGTAACTGCCCTCATACCTCTAACAGCACCCAAGATCACTGTCACCGTCTTCCACACAATAAAGGGAAACTATTACATTCATGTTACTTTATTCAACACAAGTGAAACAGTTGTATTTCAACTATTTATTTAATATTTTAAAGTCTAGATCGTTGCTAAACGTAACTTTGATAGTGATACAAAGGAAAAGATTTGTAGATCAGAAGGATGATTTTGACGATCAGTCATATATTCAGGTTCGTGACAATCTGTGACTTTTAATATACTGATAATGGGTACAATGCTGACATTTGAAAACTTTTCAAAATATTTAATGAATGAACAACTTCGAATTTATTAGGCTTTGATGAAACCATCGCCAGTGAAGGATTTCACACACGCATGTCTTCTTTCGTTGAATCATTCTTCTTCGACCTCATTATTACATCAGTTTTTTTGTAACATTATGGCTCGAAGTATCTGGGGCTAAGAGGAGAATGGGCATCAAAACTAGGATGTATCGCTGTGATAAGCTCAAAGATGGATTACTTTTATCTTTACATTTCATCTAGTCCTTTGGAACTATACCTCTTATAATCAGTTTTGCCTCAATTTCTGTGGAGTTGTGATTCAGCGGTTAGGGCTGTTAAGTCACTGGGATCAAAACCCACTCAATCTACTTCGGTTTCCGCAACTGGTTAGTATCACTAGCCCTTACACTTAAACTGTGGTTCGAAATCATGCACATGAACCTGTAACTGGTAAGGAGTAATGATAATAATACTGACAATAATAACCTTTGGTATTATTCTGGTTCGCTTGCGATTCATTTTGTCGATTCCCTCTCTAATAGCGTTTTGTGCTAGACCCCATGTTGACGTTCACAATCGAATGAATATTGAATAAGGTGACATTTTGAAAAAAAAGGTTATGTTTACGCCCATTCATCAATAAAATCTTTACAAATACTAGATGCTTGTACTAACGTGTCAAGAAAAAACCCAACATATTGAAACGTACTCGTAAATTGTTGGTTTAACACTACTATCATTTTCAGCATACTTTAAAAGATATGCTGAATTGAGCGGACCATGTCTTAATGCATTGAAACCTTCTCCTGTTCCAATAAATAAACCACCAACACCTGGTATTATACAATGACCACGCCAACCACTGAAATAAACAAGTGTTTAAAACATAAATAGTAATAATAATCATAATGATAATAATAATAATGGGAGGAGTTCAGTTAGGAAAAATACAACCAGAAACAATTCTTTCAGTTAACGAAGTTACTCTTACTTTTTATGAATAAAGCAGAGGAAAGTTACAGCAGAATTTCCACTGGCCTCAACTCTGAGCCATATCTGATAACGTCTCAAGCCACTGTGTTGCACCATCTCTAGAACCCCAACCAGAGAGTCGTGAAAGACAAACAGAAGCCAGTCTTGCAGAGCTCTTCTTCATACCACGACACTATGTCATACAATGACCACCTCTCTGCTTTTTCCAACCGGTCCCAGCGTCGGTAAACAGTGCAATTCGCTGGGACGACATTCGTAGGACATGTCCAAGCCACCGAAGTCAATGTTTCAAGATGGTTATACCAACTGAATTATCATCTGTGTCTGAACACACGACGCCGAACCTCCTCTGTGCTAACATCTTGTAGCAACCGGGTGCCATCAATCCTTCGGAGACAACAGAGACAACACAAGAAGCCATCTAACATCAACTCGGAGGCCAGGCCTTACAGACATAGAGGAAAACTGCTCTCACTGGAGCGTTATAGATCCGACATTTTACAACCAGACTAAAACCATGAAGATGCTAGAGATGACGCGGATTGACATAAGCCGCTCTGGCTCTTACTATACGTGAATTGATCTCATCAATCACGCCACCACCAGTACTTATGCAGCTATCTAGATACATGAACTTCTAGACTAATTCTAACTCCTCACTACCAAGTTTGAGTGCAAGTACAGGGTCCTGTCAGTCTTTTAAAGTACTTTGTACTTAGAAAGTGCAAAGCACATGCTATACCTATGAACACTGACTGCCAACTGGTTAGGTGCGGATTGCAAGGCTTGTATATCATCTTACAGTAAGACAATACCGTCCGCATACTCAAGGTCAAAAAATTTTTCTCCAAGTAACAAATCCACGCTATTTATACTTACTTACTTTTGATAGGATGGTGAAAGTTGAGTTAGATCCGACTTTTGTTTTTGTTCAATATTTTTAATAAAACTTGTTACAACTGTACATGATGTCAATGGAAAGTCAAGGCGACCAGGCCAATTGCATGGTTCTTTCTTTTTATTATGGATTATTTTCCATTTTAATAAGTCGACCGAATTACTTTTACAACCACCAATGGTAACTAATGTACATGGTGTGATCGGTGTCGACGTATGATAACTTCTTGACGATACTGTTAAACTGGAATCGGCTTCGCAGTAAACATATTTCATTCGTTGTTGAGATGAATCCATATCAATCAAATTACCTGTTAATAATAATTTATGGAATATTTATCACAAAAATAGTCAAAACTATATTACGTAACGACGAACCGGTCGATAATCCAATGAGCTGAAATAGAACCTGGTTGTATCATTAATAGTGGAGGTTCAAATGATCCCAGTATTGATATTCAAAACCGAATTTTTTTATCAGTCTTTGTTAGCATATACGCGTCCAGTAAGAATTGCCTTGATATAGCTATTCTTAAGTTTTCTTTTACTTAGAGCAAGTGAATTGTGATTAACAGTGAAATTCAGAAAGTGCGTTTCGTCCTATTTGAAACTTGCCAGCTGCATTTATCTATACCTCAGTTTTCATGTAAACATTAGGACTCAAACCCAGTTAACTCTATCATCTGGGAGGAAAGGGGATTTGTGGGATAACCAAGTCTGTGGATGAGCTCCAATCGCTAGATGTTTTATAAATATTCTGCATTTTATTTTGTAGATTTTCTCAACTACATCACAATATCTCCATCTATGTTGATGCGAAATGATGGAAAGGAAAATAAAGTAGTTAACTGATAATTAGATAAGTGCAACTAATTGGTATTAAAACGAGTCATCAGCTTGAATGTCATCTACTATTTCACTCCAATTCTATTGACTATTCTTACTTTTCTGTCTTCATATAATCTTCCCTTAATAGAAATTGTTATTAACTGGAGAAGACACTGACAAAAATGTTGAAAAGTAGTTAACCTACCATATAGTAAGTAAATATTCCCTGCCTTTCTTTGGCTTCGTAGAGAACCTTCTCGGCCGATAATAATGGCTGAAAACGTACTCTCATCATCTAGTGAACGAATTATTTGAGCAGAATGAGCTGACAACCCAGCTCCCTGAGGAAACCCTGTAAGCAGTGGTTCATTCAAAGCAGGAGGTAGCCAAGTATTCGATTGAGTATCATATGTATGTATACCTGGGATCCTGATATGTCCATTCCAGCCCCCTTTATTAAAATATGCATCACCATGAAGGTTGAATAAAAATGGCAACAATTAAATAGGGCAGATGTTTTGTATATGTATCCAGATCTAAGTATGTTGTACAATACATTTAAGTTTTGATGTTAAATGACTGAAGGAAACTGGTGGAAAGCATCGGGCCCAGATTTTATGTTAGTTGACACTTATCTGCAAAACAGATCCTTGATTTTGAGAGAACTGTCTCCCCCTGGGGTTCGAACCCGCGACATTGACTGTAACACTAGTTGACATCAATTCGAATAGCACAGAAAGTGTCGGCCCCCTTAAAACCATGAGTTCATCTTGCTGACAAGTGTGGCCTAGCAACAAAATATAGGTGCATGGTTTCTTTGACTATGAAGCCTCAAAACATACTTTAGACATTAAATTACCTCAACTAGCAGAAAAACTGAAACTTGATCAATAGAACTCTACTAGCAATAAGGACAAGATAACCTCTGGGCATGTCGAGATAAATCCAACCCAGTAACTTTGAGGGATAAGGTTGACCAGTTACATGATGAGACCTACTCTAAAAGACAAATAACAGGGTTAATAAGATACAACTGATAACAAGCAGTGATTAGAATCGACTGATTTTACACTCGTGGGATAGTTCTATGAGGCCCACTACCATTTTCGGCAAGCTTTGATCTCATTCAGAATGCTAATTGAAGCTCAGTAACTGAGCCCTAGAGTTCTGAGAACGTGACACCGCCAATAATCATATCGTGTTTTGACATGCTACCGAGTTTAATCCAAGTGTTATAAATATAGAATGACAAAATTAGGGAATTCGTCTCCTGAGTGAGCAACTACGATCAGTCGACAAGAGAATAACAAAAACGATTGGCCGGATGATAACCCTACCTACAGTTTCAGTTAGTCTCTAGTTGAGAGAAGATAGGTTAGGAAATGTAAGTAACTACTATTCCTGACCCGACAATCCACTATAGATACCCCTAGGGACTTCAGAGATGAGAATTACACAACTACAATGTTACTACTTAACATACTTTCATATTAACGGTCATTAAATGTGATTGATACAAACTTACCAATAAAAACAAGATATCTATCCTTGAAAACTAGACATGTATGTTGACTAAGAAATGGTGAGTCTGAAGATGTAATTTCCATCCACTGGCCTATTGTAGGATAAAGCTGTATCTTGTAAAACAGTTGCTCGGCGTTTTACATGATGCATCATTAGAGGTTATTCCGCCGTGCAGATAGAGATCTCCCCTTATAATGGCACCTGGAATATTTTGTTCAGAGCATACAAAAATATGTTTTACCAGCATGACTTTGTAGCGCAGGACCAATCGTGCCATTTGCTGCATTAACCCACTGAAGAGGACATCGCTTTGTCATTTACTAAAGTTTAATATTATGTAACATATGTGAAGTGAACATTTTTAGCGACTTCGACATAATCCCTTTTATTAGTGTATACTTGTAAATATAATGGCATTAAAAGTGAATTGAATGTATTAGTAGTTGAAACAATCAAAATTCTCATCCTATTCTTTAAGTTTAAGAGCTAACCGATTGAAATGTGAACAGGCGAAGCTAAAATGGTAACATTACAATATCGATAGTTTAGTCAAAATTTAAATAGGCACTAATATGATTTTGTCGAAATCTAGACTGCGAAATAATTATTCATCCCTAAGAATGAAGGCTAAGACTGTGATTCATGGACGGTCTGATGAAATCGAAGATGGTAGTTCTCAGACCTTGACGCGGAATTTATTCATATGTGGGTTTTTTGTGTCATTTCCCCAAAAAATTTTATAGCGGCTTCCCCAAAATTGGGAGATTGGGTATATATGGCTAAATGGCATATTGAGGTCATAGCTGATGTCATTTCTTGGTGAAATTTTCAGCCTCACCTGTGAATTTAGTATCTTAAATTCGTAAAATTTAAATTTAGAACCACAAACTGGTTTTTTAGCTGCTTTAACAGAAGTGAAAATGTCATAATTTTTTACGGATAAGAGCAAAGGGATATCCACTTGAAATAAAAGAAAAATTTGCTTTCGCTATGCACATTTTAATGACTAGCGGACAGTATCTATCAGATACAACGGAATCATCACCTTTTAATTACCAAAAAACACTGGGAATAAACTCAACTACGGTTTGTAATTTCGGCAAACGACGTAGCAACCAATCAGAATAAAGCGGTTCAAATGGTTTGAATGGTTCTGCTGTGTTGTGTCTCCAGTTTCTGAGTTTTGTCTCTAAGGTTTTTGTTAGGGCTAAGCTTAAGTAGGTGTTTAAGGGGATGTCCAGAAGTTCTTAGTATGCTGTAGGCCATTAGAAGGTCACTTCTAAGACATCTGTACTCTTGTAGTGACTCACGTTTATCACGAGAACACGACTGGTTTAATAAAAACAATTATTATTATAACCAGCTGTACCAGTGTTTGTTTTAACGTGCTTTTGTTTGACTGTGCTAATGACAGCTATTTTGTGCTTCCATTCTTATACTTACACTTCGATTGTAACTTCGCGCGAATTCGGTTACCTTCTGTAACCAAGGTTGTATCCTGGCACGATCTCGGTATCCTTTCGATGCCACGAGATCGCCAGCAAATATAACTCGACTTGGTCCATTAATTGCCTTCTGGTATTCGGCTTCTCGGGGATTTTATGGAGTCATTTGGAACGAGCTTCTTACGCCTTCTGATCTATTTGGCACGTGTTTCTTGGTAGCGGTGTTCATAGTTAATCACAACTCGACGCCACGCTACATTGGTGACCCGTATTTTGGAACACGCCTCAACTTCTGATCAAATCTTCCAAAGAAGCCAATTCGGTGAGTCTATGATTTATCTATCCACGTCTGTCGTATATTTTCATATTTTTTAATATATAATATACGCGACATGACGGATAACGATAAGAATAGTATTAATATAATAGACTCACATGTACGTGTACCGAATCCTTGTTACTTTTTATTGGCGTGACGATGAATTCCACGCTATATTCTCCTCGCTGACCCGGCTGCTTGGTACGGAATGCATACGCATAAGCATATCTGTCTACCACCCAGCACCAAATGGTTAAGTAAACGGTTTCACTGCCAACTTAAAAGTGCTATACGAGCACACGAAAACGGCAACTGGCACGAAACCTTACCGCTCGTTCTTTTAGGGATCACAACGAGCTTGAAGGCAGATATACAATGTTCCGCCGCTGAACTGGTATTCGGCACGACATTGCGTCTGCCCGGAGAATTCTTCACACCACGGAGCAGACCTAATTTCGGTAAATCAGACTACGTCCATCGACTGTCTGCATTTATGCGAACGCTGTCTCCGGTGTCAACTCGAATACAACATCGACAGGTCGCTCTCCCTCGAGAGTTATCTACCTGTTCACATGTTTTTGTACGAGTAGATTCGGTACGCAAACCTTGGCAACAACCTTACGAAGGCCCTTTTCACGTGATCGCTCGTCACGAAAAGACCTTCAAGGTTGATCGACATGGCCGCGTCGAGATCGTCAGCATTGATCGTCTCAAACCAGCACACGTCGATGACAGTGCCCTATCTGATAACCTGAGATTCAATGCTAGACCTAGCAAACCTAGCGGGATCCTCAAATCTTCTTCAGGTCCCACGCTAGATACATCTGAGACCTCATTCTCACGTCCCGGTCAACAGCACGCGTCATCTGCACCGTCTACGGACGAGACGACAGTCTCACGTCCAGATCAGCAGACCACGCCGCCTCTGACTTCGGATGAGATTGCAGGCTCACGCGACGCGAACGAGACTACCGTCTCACGTTCCGGTCGCCGAGTACGGTTACCCGTACGCTTCCGCGACTAGTCGCACAGTCAACAACCGATACGGTGTAGGATTATTCCTATACTACACGCATGCTACACTCTTCTTTTTTTGATTTTCTTTTTGTTTCCTGAGCCCACGCCTTCGACCATCTCCGTTTGGTTCCGTCGACTTCAGTCAACTTTGGCGAAAGCTGGCCTGATCACCCATGCTCTTGTCAACGCACTCAGTCGATATATTGGTTTCGAATGCTTGGCACACGCTTGGTCTCGAACTTGGTCGTTATGGTCGCTTCTGGTCTTTTGGCTCAACGTGGTTTCGTCCTACGTCTGCAGCGTTTCTGGTGCGCACCTCTACGAACGCCCTCTTCAGATTCTGGATACAAACCACTCTGGTGTAGCATGCCAACTCGAGCAATAAGTACAACACATCGCTCCTGGTACCGTTCTCCGAAAACGACCTTCGTTGGCAACTCGACGATCAACGATCGCTTTCCTGTTCGCCAATTCTTCCGTCCTACAATCGCTCGTCAGCCGATCAGTCCCACGATTCAAACCGCTATTTATCGAAAGTGTAAACCCTTTCTAGCGGGGGGCTCCTGTAGTGACTCACGTTTATCACGAGAACACGACTGGTTTAATAAAAACAATTATTATTATAACCAACTGTACCAGTGTTTGTTTTAACGTGCTTTTGTTTGACTGTGCTAATGACAGCTATTTTGTGCTTCCATTCTTATACTTACACTTCGATTGTAACTTCGCGCGAATTCGGTTACCTTCTGTAACCAAGGTTGTATCCTGGCACGATCTCGGTATCCTTTCGATGCCACGAGATCGCCAGCAAATATAACTCGACTTGGTCCATTAATTGCCTTCTGGTATTCGGCTTCTCGGGATTTTATGGAGTCATTTGGAACGAGCTTCTTACGCCTTCTGATTTATCTGGCACGTGCTTCTTTGTAGCGGTGTTCACAGTTAATCTCAATTCGACACCACGCTACAATTGGTAATCCCAATTCGAATACACTCTAATGGGTAAAGGTTCAGTGATTGGAGGCGCTCTTCATAAGGCTTGAGTTGGAGTCCACGAACAGATTCCTTTGCTGGCCGTCGAACACCTTCCAGAGTGCCTTTATCCTTTTGGTATGAGGGCGGAAATACTATGTTTCCGTACTCTAAGTGAGGACGAATTAATCTGTTCAAGATTATGTGGAAAGTTCTCCCGTCGAACTGGCCGAAAATGCGCCTCAATTTTACCAATACAAGGTTTTCTCGAAAAGCATTTTTGTCACAGTTGGCGTGTCGGTTTATCCTCTTAGTTACGTACTTTCCTCCAGAGTTTCTCATCACCAGCGAAAAGTAATAAATCTGACGACACCTGCTCTGGAAGAAGAGATCCCAGCACTGAACGCTGGGGACCCCAGGCAGGCAGAATTATCATTTCCGCCATCTTTGTAAGCAGTGGTGGTCAACTTGCTTCATTCCGTTTGTCATCTGACGTTTTCTTGTCGCTGTAAAATTTAATACTTTCGTGTGCTGAAATTCCGAAATTTATGTGATACTCTAAGTTTTGGTGCCAATTTTTTGAGCAAGTTTCGTTTTCTCGGTTTTCGATACTGTTGTTCAGGTCAGTGTATTCATTTCGGGGTGCTATGATAATTAGAATTATTTGAATCCTTGTATTAACTAGGAATTCACGAAACAGTACAATTTAAGCCCAATAGGACTAGATGACCACAAACAAACGTACCTTATTTAGAATTCGAAGTCAACCAGGGATCAAGTACAAAGCAATCATTAGTTGACACAAACACCACAGGTACTTCGTGCTTTATATGATATAACGATGAATATTTGCGCCAAATCTTTATTCGCATTTTGATTGCATCACTTTTGTAATCATTTAAACTGCGGTCAGTTCCACATAATCTTTCACATCCACGCGGTCAGAGCGTTTCTAATTGAGTCCTGTACGTTATTGTTGTTTATTTCACAGGATTAATTAGTATCTAAAAAGATAAGTTGTTTTAGTCTTCCACGATCTCACAATACAATTAAATACTGCTGACTTCGAATTCTTCGTTGACGAGTTGTCATCATCGCTAATTGGAACCTGTAGTCTCATCGCATTTTGGAAAAATAGTAGTAATTAACATCCCATCTGATAATACCCTATATATGCACCGAGATCATGTGTTTCCTTACTAATCTGGAGACTAAGAATAGTGTATTGTATATGAGTAAATAATATTACTAATTTCGTCATCTCGCCCGAGATCGTTGGAATATTCGTGTGTATTTATTGACAAATGTCTACCTTTTGATCTGTTTTGAACGTATAAATCAAGTGATTTTAGATTTATTGAAAGCGCATTTGCCCAATAAAACTACTGGTTCTGAACTAACCATATCGAATATCAAAATTATAACTTTCTAGTGATTTTTTGAGTTTTTTGAAGCATGGAAATAATCGATATGTATATGAGTAGTAACGTATTTGAACTAATAACAGTCCCTTTCCTTACAGCAGCGACAACCTCATGTAACGCTAGAAATGACCTCGAGGTTTGTGATGCTCTTCCTGATCCGACATATCAGATGTAAATTCGTTACTAAGTAATTTAAAAACTTGTGGTATTTGTACGAACTAATGATTTCCCGCTGATCACTAATTCCAAATATAAAACGTTCGTTTGTGTTCGTCTGGTTCTACCTCCTTAGTTAGAACATTAGTTCGAATACTTCTAATTATCATAAAACTGATCAATTTGCTTCTGGTTCTTCGATATGACAGTGGAAACAGGTTTAGTTTAACCACTCAAGCATCATGCGGGAGCTTTGTTATTTCGGGAATCAGCTTGTTTGTTGTTCTTTAAGCCCCATCCAACAGCTCACTATTTCCTTAGGCAGAGGTTAGCTGCTTGTATGCAGCACTCGAGTTTAGGGTGCACGAATACTGCATACAAAGTCAAAAATATTTTTGTATCGACATGGCTGAAGGCCCTACGTATTGACCATAGGGTTAAAAAACCTTTGGCGGCTATCGCACGGCAGTGCGCAATAGTTCTTAAGTCTTGGCTAATGATGATTCTTAGGTTACTGTGTTTCTGGACAACATGTAGCTCAATGTTGTTCGTCGTGTATGTATCTACAGTGGCATTGAACCCCAATCACACAACTTTTGAAGCCGAGCATATAATTACCGAAAAGATTTATATTTAACAGTCAGCACGAAGAGACGGTTGCTGTGACGACGGACCACGGGTGGACTCGAGAAAGCTATGGGAGGCTTAGAAGGAGCCGAAGACATTCCATCCAATCACCTTTCAGAAGAATGTTCTAGAATTCTACGTGTAGCCTCCTGA